ACATCACTTGTTGCTGCAGGACTTGGCTTTGACTTGGGCTCTCTTTGTTCCAGCAGACACCTCCCTGCAGAGTCATGGCCAATGTGGTTACCATTTGGGGAGGCTGTTGGAACGCCGGGCGTCTTCACCAGACCAGCCATGCTGGCTCAGCTCCGTGTGGTGGGAAAGTTGCTATTTTGTTGGTCTTGGAACTGAGATTCTGTGCCTATTTGGGAATATCAGAAGTGCTGGGGAGGTAGGATGTAAGAAAAACCAGGGGAATACTGTTCCATGGTGTTGAGGCCTACAGTTTACTAATCTCAACCTTAAAGGCTTCAGGATTTACACGTCAAAGGAGGAAACAATGACTTGAGAGTGTACAAAAGCATCTGAAGGGGCTGTCCAGCCGGTTGAAGACCTGGGGTCTTTGTCATTCCATAATCAGACAGTTGAAGTTCTTGTCCTGGGTTCCTTGGAAAGGGGTGCATTGTCCAGTTTTCCTGGAGCCTTAGTGAGAGATGGCAAGAGAAGGGTGTCGAGCATTTTTCCTTGGGGCTAAGCGGGATTTAGGTACAGGTACCAGGATTTGATGGAGTCCTGGCCACGTGGCTCAGTTACAGCGTCACCCTGATAGACCAAGGTTGTCATGTCGATCCCATAAAAGTCGGCACATGAAAGAAGCAACCAATGAATATATAAGTGGAACAAGAAATGGATGTTTCTCTTGAAAAGAAAATGATAGGACCATTTCTGTGGTCTTGTGCTGCAAACACAGCACAGTGTCAGGAGGGGGCGGTAAAGGTGCAGTCCCATGAGCTTGGACAGAAGCACAGACAGATTTGCTGTGTGACCTGCCTTTGGCTTGACTTGCAGATCAAACCCTGACTAGATGGGTGTGATATAATGTGCTTCCTAAGCGGGAGTCAAAGCTTTCAAGGCAGCCAGCAAAACTGGCAGCTGAAGTGGGTCTTCAGGGGTACAGGGACTTGGGGGTTATATTTGTGGGGTACAATATTACACAAGTGAGATGTCAGAAATCCTACACAGGTGATTTTGTCTTGGTAGCCACCTATTTCAGTCTTCATAGGCGTTTGTAATTTAGACCACAAGGTGGCAGCCAAAGGCAACACCAATTGTGCACTTAAACTTGGTCCTGGGAGGTGTGCTTTGGAATCGGAACCACCAATAGGCAGAAGCTTGCTTTGGCAGAAAGGTTGTGTTTGGGGAAGCTGTTTCACTGCTGCCTTGCCAAAGATTGCTTTTTATCCAATTTTTCTGCTGGCTCGAGTGATGTCAGGTGGTTTGCCGGTGTTCACACGCTGTGATTGTTTAACCTGGATTCCATGTGAAACATTAGTAGCTCCTGGCCTTTCTGTTTCATGCTGAGGCCAGCGAGCAAGTGGATGCGTTTTCTCAGCCTTGGTGACTTTCTGGTGCTAAACATCACTTTTTCAACTAGGGCTCTTTGCCAACCCCTTCCCTCGTGATTTCAATTAGTTCCAGAATGTGTTCTTCAAGATCTCCCACGGACACTGGGAAAACCCAGAGAATCTACAAAGTAGAGGCAGAGCCTGTGGGTAAAAACATGCAGATGGTGGTGGCTCTTGCTGCCTGCCAGCCCTTCCTCACATTTTGGTAGATTGAGTGGTCCCTGCCAATCAATAATCATTAATTAGCTGTTCAGGGATCAGTGCCAGTAAGTGCCCTGGGAAACAAGCCTCGAAATTGGCCTTCAAGAGCCTCACAGTCTAGTTAGGAAAACAAAGCCAAAGCTATACCTTGAGCCCATGCCAAATGCTACATAAGTATCATTATGTCCAGGCTGAATTCTAAGGAAGGGTAGGGCAGGGGCCATGAGTGAAGGCTGAAGTGAGGAGCGGGATGGGGAGACAAGTTGGCATCTTAAAGAGGTTTCCTTCAAAGTGGTATTGGCTTGTGAAACTGATGCCAGACATGAAAGTTGGTTTTGTTTTTTGTTGTGTGTTTTTGTTATTTTAAAAATATATATTTTTATTGATTTCAGAGAGGAAGGGAGAGGGAGAGAAAGCTAGAAACATTAATGATGAGAGAGAATCTGATCGGCTGCCTCCAGCACACCCCCCACTGGAGATCAAGCCCGCAACCCGGCCATGTGCCCTGACGAATCAAACAGTGACCTGGTTCATAGATTAACGCTCAACCACTGAGCCACGCCAGCTGGGCTGTTGTGTGTGTGTGTTTAGTAAAGCTAGGAAAAACAAATGTTTGCTATTAAAAGTGCCTGAGAAGGTTATGTGGGTTATGAGGGGCACAGAAAGGCCCACTTGGGCACCTGCATGGGCACATTGTTGGACAAAAGCTTTTGGGGGGGTTTTGGCCCATCTCCCAGGGTTGATCTCCAGGCTGGTAGCTCACTAGCTAATCCCTACCCCCACTACTACCAGTAAGAAAGGCATCAGGATTTTTAAAGGAATTTTGGAAACTGACAGCTGAAGATGCATTTTCATAATTTAACAACTTCCCAATATGGACACAAATCCCCTTTCCCTGAAAAATAGATTCCTCTTATAGGCAGTGCCAATAGCAGCTTTGAGTCTGTGACTCTTGAAGTCCTACTTCCGTATTGTTTTGTTTTTTAATTGATTTTAGAGAGGAGAAACATCGATTTATTGTTCCACTTATTTATTCATTCATTGGTTGATTCTTGTATGTGCCCTGTCCAGTGATCGAACTGCAACCTTAACATATTGGGACAACACTCTAACCAACTGAACTACCCAGCTAGGGCAGCTCTACTTCTGTTTTGATGAATTTGGTAGACCTTTAAACCGCAGCTACCATGTGCCTATGTTAGATGCTGAGAGACAGTGTTTTTGAAAAGGATGTATCTAACCCTAAAGACGGCCCACTAGAACACTCCCTACACCAGGCACCGGCCTCCAGCTGGGCAGTTGGGCCCATGGGGCTAGGAATTCCCCATTCCTACCCTGGGCTCCAGAAGCCAGGTCTGTTAACAAAGCTAAAAGAGCAGCCCAAACTGTTCTCCAAGATTTGGGAATGCAGTTGGTAGTGGCCCCACAGCAATGGGGGGCGGGGGCTTTACCACTTCTGCTTTCAAGCTGAACCCTTAGGATGGATTTGTCAGTCCTTTTACTTCTTACCTGGAAGAAGTGAGATGGGAGAAAGGAGCCTTGCTGATAGCACTCATTAGGACAATTGTTTCTAAGCCCACAGAAGAGGGAGACCCTGGTTTAATCACTTTGTTCTGGGACAAGGTTTGGCTGTTTCCAATGAGGGTAAAGCTCTATTGGCTCAGCGGCAGGGTCAGCCATCTAGGTGAGAGGTGGATGGCCTTTTGGGTTAGGTTTTCAGGACAAGGACTTGATCTTAGGATGCTGAGGGAAGCTGGCGGTCTGTGGGAAAGAAGGTGACTGGGCTGCGGCGGGGAGGCAGAGTGTGCCATCCTCCTGCGCAGCCCTCCCTCGGCCTTGCCCCAGACTGCCATAAACTGCCCCTGAGAGGTCCCTGGCCTCCAGCTTTGCCTCACTTCCAACTGCTCTCCATGAGGCAGCCACCGTTATTTTTTGGAAACAAAAATCTGAACAAGGTATTTCCCAGCTTAAAGTTCTTCAGAAGCTCTGTATTGCCTTCTAGAGTCTTTTATTATTATTTTTTCCTATTGGTTTCAGAGAGGAAGGGAGAGGGAGAGAGAGAAACATGGATCAGCTGCCTCCTGCACGCCCCCTACTGGGGATCGAGCCCGCAACCTGGGCATGTGCCCTTGACCAGAATCGAACCTGGGACCCTTCAGTCCATAGGCCGACGTTCTATCCCCTGAGCCAAACTGGCTAGGGCCTTCTAGAATGTTTTAGAACCTAGACAAATGCAAAACTTTCATGGCCTAACAGGTTCATCACAACTTCCCATCTGCCTACCAAAGCAAGGCTCCAAATCCAGTCCAGCTAAACTGCCTCATGCTCTTTCCTGGCTTGAGACTTCTTTGCACACAGTGTTCCGTTTACAGGGGAACCTCTCCCACCTCCCACCCACATGGAGCTCTTATTCATTCTTCATTATTCCGGTTAAATATCCCCTCTAAGAAGCCTTTGCTGACAGAACTGCCCCTACTTCAAAGTCCGGTCAGATGCCCCACCTGTTAGTGCCTGCAGCA